CTGCCCCTCACACACCAGTTTGGGATCACTGACTGATCCCAGCCCTGCCCCTCACACCCCAGGGATCACTGACTGATCCCTGCCCCTCACACACCAGTTTGGGATCACTGACTGATCCCAGCCCTGCCCCTCACACCCCAGGGATCACTGACTGATCCCTGCCCCTCACACACCAGTTTGGGATCACTGACTGATCCCAGCCCTGCCCCTCACACCCCAGGGATCACTGACTGATCCCTGCCCCTCACACACCAGTTTGGGATCACTGACTGATCCCAGCCCTGCCCCTCACACCCCAGGGATCACTGACTGATCCCTGCCCCTCACACACCAGTTTGGGATCACTGACTGATCCCTGCCCCTCACACCCCCCAGGGATCACTGACTGATCCCTGCCCCTCACACACCAGTTTGGGATCACTGAATCTACTGAGTTCTTCCTGGGGCTTTTACAAAGCTGTATCCTCTTGGGAATCTTGAGGCCCTCCAGTAATAATGCATTATAAATCGACATAGTGCATGTCACATTTAGTACTTACTTAGTGTTTCTTCCTTGGGTTTCTTGGGATATTATCTGAACTTGGCAGGTAGCTGCTGTTTGGGGAGACAGGTGTTTGGGTTTGGATTTAATATTTTACTCTTGTCCTCTCACCACTTTTACACTTGTCCTTTAACCACAGGGCTTTAAACTTCAGAGAAAATCCTTGGCTGTGAAAATCCTTCCATGTGAAGGTTTCTGACATGGGAATCTTCCCAAACTTCTTGTTTGTGACCATCTTGAGCCTTATCTTTTTTGAAAATACAATATTATGTGGCTTTTATGCCTTTTGCAAGTAGTTTCTTAAATTCTTGTGTACAGTTGGCCTCTTTTGATTTGTTTTCTTTATTTATAGCTTGATAGATCTTTATTTTCTTGATGTTGTCCATTTATTAGTAGGCCATATAAAAAAAAGCAGGTGTAGAATAAAGATAAAAAACCTCATTAGAAATGCTTTTAAAATAGTTAAACTTGAAATTACAGTCCTGTACAGACACAAACCTGATATTAGCCACTGAAATTACTGTTTTGAAAGTAATGCTTAGATAGCCCCGTATTCCAACCAAGATTTTCTAGATCACTGAACTGATGGGAATTTGTAGCTAAATCCCAGAAACTACAATTTGTGGAATGCTGAGTGAGCCTTAATAACAATAAACTATTCTACAGACACAGATACTTTTTTCAGTTTGCTAGTTTGGTTTGAGTTGAGAAAGTGAGAGAACTGAGAAGTTATTCCTTGCATGGCTCTCCACGTATCGGCTGTTGTTAGTACTAGAAGAGATGTGATTTATTCAAGGAAATTACCTGTCTGATGCTCATTTTCTGTGCTTGGCAGTGATGTCCCTGGAGGTTCTGGTGCCTGTAAGGGAGGGGACAGTGGAACACTCGTGTTCTTTGGGACATAAGTGGGGAATTCTTGCAATAGATTTGAAAAGGCCTTTTAAATTCTGCTGGACTGGCTGTATCTTAGGCAGCCAAAGAGGATGTGCAGTTCCATTCTGCTTACCTTACTTCATGCTTTTATTTCATTTACTGAATTATCTTCATGGCTAAATCACGTTCTCCATAAGTGCTGCAGTGCTTTGAGATTCAAAATGATTAGAAACATTTATGTGATTTATGAATAAAAGTATTTAATATTGTTTAACATGAAGAATGATTCAAATACTTATACTAGAGTAAAAATGAAAGAGAAAAGCTGTGTTAAGGTACCCAGCAGCAGGTGTGACCAGCACCTTGCTGTGGGCTGGGAGGGAACTGGAACTCAGCAGAGACTGAGACTCAGACTCTGTACAGAGGCAAAATCTGCAGGTCAGAGCCACAGTGTGCTAAAGGAGTCTCCTATTCCAGGAAATTACAGGGAACAGCTAAATATATTCTCACTTTCAAATCAACTAGTGATACCCTGCAAAGGAGACACAGTTATTTGACTGAAGAAATTCAGAATGGGCTGGAGGAAATACTGCAGTGGAACCACATGGAGGTGAAAAAAACCTAAAATGACCTTTCTGACAGTTCTGTTGTTTTGGGGGTTTTTATCCGGTAATTTATAGCAGTGTTTTTAACTCACGATTAAAATCTAATGCTCTTTGCTAGTGGTGTCTGGATTAAATCATGTTGAAGTTACCACAACTCTTTCTGGTGATCGTAATTGGAAAGTTAATTTCTCATCCCTATGGGAATTCAGCATCTGGTACATGGAGCTTCTGCAGTCGGACTGAGCTACTTCCAAAGGCGTGTCCCTGCTCACGTGGATGGGCTGGCTCGTGGCCGGGGACGTTCTTATTCACTGTGGACTTATCCCTTGTTCTAGAGCTCCTGCCAAGGAAGTAGAACTCCAGCATTTGGACAGCTGGACGAGCTTTCATTGACAGTGGAACTTCTACTGATTGGTCATTGCAACCCATCCAGAAATGGTTTGATGTTCTCCAGTCTCATCCTGGAGCTACAGTGGAGGGCACTGGTGGGGGGAGCTCAGCACCAAGGAAGGGTCATGTTTCTTCTGTCACGTAGTCTGTAATAAAGCTTTTCTGGGGAATGCAGTGGGTGGTTAAAATGCTGCATGGATTTAGAAGTGAGTGGAAATGCACAAAAGGCAAGTGCTTGGAAAGCAGGGTAGAGCCATGCCCTGAGCTGCCAGCGAGTGCCTGGAAGGTGCCTGGCTTTGCTGGGAAACATCTGGGCATCCCAATGCCTCTCATGCTGCACATCCAGAGGCAACTGCTGTTTGTCACTCTCAGGGTCAGGATAAGGCTGGACTGTGCTCCTCTGACCTCATCCTGTTCTTGTATTCTTGAATTTTTGGGATCCTTTTCTCTTCACTCTCCTTGTATGCGAGGTGTGAAAAATCTAAGTCTTCCTCGTGGGTATCCCACAACTAAATTGCTGGAGCAAATTCTGCTGCATAGGGCAGCACTTCAATAAACCTCTCATAGCTTTTGGCTGATGCTCTCTGGTAAGAAAATTGGGGAAGCTTAGGCCATTGTGGCTTCTAGCACAGAGGTTCACCTGTGGTTTGTTGCCAGAACAGCCGCTGATTGTGTCCCACCTGGCTGTGGCTCACCTCGAAGGCTTGCTCATGTTCTCAGCTCCTTGGGAATATCTGGGCTAGCTGAGAAAATGAATCAGTTGAGCTGCTGCCTTCCCTTGGGTGTGCACATCAAGGACACCTGGACAGCCACAGGAATGCAGGATGTGGTACTGGTGGGGCACAACTCCAGCACCAGAGGGCTGGGCAAAACGGGGCTTTGGGAGTGATCCAAACAACTGAGTGTCCTGCCCAAATCAGCACCTCCAGGGGTGGTCCTGGTGGTGCTGTGTGCCCAGTATGTGTGTGTCTTTGGAAGGAGCTGGGTCCCGTTTTGGTGTTCCCTTTTGCCCTAGACATGGCTGTGTTGGCACACAGGGAGGGAGTGGCAGCAGGGAACTTATCCCAGTACTGTGAGTGCAGAGCGGGGCTGGGGCGTGTTGGTGGAGCATGTGGAGGAGTTTGGTAGGGCCTGTTCCCTTGCTGAAGTGCAGCTGAAACAGTGTTCTTTGTGAATGTGGGGGTCTTGATGGATACTTAGTACTGATGACAAATGAGTTGAGGGGTAATCTGGCCCTACCTACCTGCAAAAACCTGACCATGGCGTTATAGAATGGTTTAGGCTGGATGGGACCTCTGAGATTGAGTCCAACCATTAACCCGTCGCTGCCAAGGGCACCACTAAACCACAACCCTAAACACCACACCTTTTAAACCCCTGCAGGGATGGGCTCTCCACCACTACCCTGGGCAGCCTGGGCTGGGCTGGGCTGGGCTGGGCTGGACAGGACAGTCTTTTATGGCAAGAAATTTTTCCTAAGATCCAACCTAAACTTTCCTTGGGGCAATTTGAGGCCGTTTCCTCTTGTCCTCTTGCTCGCTGTGTTGAAGTGTTACATAATGCCTCACAGACTTGTTCAAGTCTGTTTTGTTGATCATGTTATTTTGCTATGTGAGTCACTCAGAAGTCATGGTTAGCTTGTGTGGAAAAGTAATTGCAGGGGAAAAGTTTTTATTTTCCCATTCTAAAAGCGTAGCTTTAAAAGTTCCTCTGCTTAACAAATGCTTACTTGCTCATTCCTTGTAAATGCATTAGGGACCAAAATTAAACAAACTGAAGTATTAAGTGATTTACTTTATCACTGTTGTTAACTGCATCACAGAAATCGTGAGTAATGCCCAAAACCTTTGGACACAAGGTTTGCCAGCTGATTTGTGCCTGGTTCCCAGTCTGGGGAAACACTCTGGAGTTCAGCTGTCCTGCTCCAAGGTGCTTTTTCTGGACCCTGAGCGTGGCACTGCTGTGGGTTCAGTTGTTGCTCCGTTCATTATTGCTCCAGGAGTGCCGGGGGTAGCCCGGGAGAGCATCCCCAGCTCCTCTGGGGAAGCAGAGTGGCTCCAGCTCCACCTCAGGAACCAGCTCAGTGCCCAGCTCAGTGCCAGGTGAGAGAAGGGCTGATCTCTGGGAACAAAAGGATCCGACGAGTGGATGATGTAACTGACCCAGAGATGTAAAATTCACACAACTAAAAAATGCATGAACGTGCCTTTGTGGCCTGGAAGGTGTTGGGTTGGAAAATGGTTTGGGGTCCAGTAAGAGTATTGCATTCTCTACAGTGTGCACAATGAAGCCAATTCCAGCTACACTTTAATGCAGGAAAGTGTGCTCTTAGTTTAAAGGAAACTATACATTTCCTTGGTGTTTGTTTGTCTTTTTTCCTGGACTGTGTTTTTCCAGTTTAGAGCTACATGGGAACTTAAAAAGGGCACCTGATGTTGTACGTTACCAGACTGTGTTATTTGGGTTGGTCTAGAAAGAAGAGTAAAAGCATCACTTCACACTGAGTAACAAAATTAAGTTGTTCTTCTGGCTAGAAGGAACTGCTGCTTCAGGAATGTAAAACTTTGGCATGAATAACCTGAACTGTGGATCAGCCTTAACAGGTTTGCTGCAAACTTCCCTGAAATGTAAAAGAGTTGGATTATTTTTCTCTCTTCGTAAGACATACTGACCTGTCAGTCAGGAATATATCAGAGCCACTCACTCCTCTTCATGAAGTCCAAGGCTGATTGTAAAGAGTGCATGATCAGCTTTAGAAGGGTGATACTTTCTCTGGACACAAATGAACCCTGAGCTTGCTTCTCCTTGCCCAGCCTGCACAGGTGCCCCCTCCAGCTGTTCATCTGCTGCAGATCTTTTCACTGGCAGGTGAACTGCAAGTGTGCTTTGGTCCCTGCTGTGCAGGAGTTCAGATGATTTAGATATCCAGAGGTGCTGAGGGCAGGGGTCACAAACGAGTGACAGCTGCACATCTGGCAGCACAGCAGCTTTGGCATCAGTCCAACAGGGAATCTGCCTGAACTCTCGGATATTTGGAGGCATTCCAAGAGAAAGGGAACTGTTGCCTTCCTGCTTTTCTTATCTGTGACTGGGGCTGTTCCCTGTGGGAGCTCTGCTGGTGGAGGGGGTGCTGGGGGAAGGCCAGAGCCAGTGCTGAGGTGGAGCTGGCAGAAGCATCTGCAGTGCAGGGGCTGGTGCTCACAGAGCAAGAACCCTGCAGGTGCCCAGCTGAGGAGGAGGATGGAGCCTCTACTGCCTGAGGGGTTTGGAGCCTCACCCTGGAGCACTGACACCTTTTCTGGAGGCCTCAAACAGGCTGTGCTGGCTAAAACGTGTTAGAAGAATAAATCAATGTATTCTCAGAGACCGTGTTCTATAATACCTGGCCTTAAGGCGATTTTTGGCAGTCTTAAATGCAACATCCAGATTGTGGCAAAACCCTAAACATGTGGGAGTAGGACTGTCTAGTTCTTTGATAATTTCCCCCCTTTTTATCCAGTGGTGTACTGGACTGCTCCACATGGGTTAGTCTCTGTGTTTGAGGGATAAGATTGCCAGAGATGGCTTTGTACATCAGACAGATCAGAAACAGCTTCACCACTCTAAGAGCTTTAATGGAGGTTCTGAAAAATCCCACTGCTTCCTTCACTAAGAACACAATCTGTTTTCATTGTTTTCTTATATTTGCAAGGTGGGGACCTCTAGGGTACTGATCTCTCACACTGTTAGCTGTCCTAACACATGTGCCTTAGGGCTGTGCTTTCACACTCTTGCCCTCTGGGGTTTGCCACTGTGCTTTCTGCCTTATTTTCAGGGTAACTGTTGGGTTCTTAGTGGATCTCTTGTCTCAGGATTCTTTCCTTCCAGAGGTTATTTTCCTTGTAATGCATCTCCTTTATTGCTTGCGTACAACACCAAAAATCCTCCTCCCCCTGTCAAACACACTGCTGTCCCTCCTGCAGGTAAAAAAGCAACACAAAACCCTGTTCTATCCCAGGCTGAGTGTGATGCAGTCCCAGCCCTGCCTGCCCTTGGGCACTCTTTGGGCAGCAGCATTCCTTGCTTTTGGGGCCTCACCCCTCCCCGAGAGGAGCAGCTGAGGAGGTGTTTGCTCACACATAACCCCCTGGTCGTTGCAGGTGATCCGCAGGAGCAGCGACGAGGAGAAGCTGCTGTGCCTGGTGCGGCAGCGGGCGGGACACCACTGCCAGACAGCTGTGATCGTGATCCTGATCCTGGCCTGGGAGGGCATCCCCCACCTGCTGGCGGACACGCTGTACAAGGAGCTGACGCAGAGCCTGCGCAAGTACGGCTGCCCCACCAGCCGCCGGTGCGCGCTCAACGAGGAGTGAGTCCCTTCTTCCTTCTGGGCTGCCTGGGCTCGCGGGGACAGCCTGGCCAAGCAGCGCTGCAGCTGCACAAGGGTGCCTGAATCCCAAACCGCAGGGTGTCACCTGTGTCACACCTCCTGCCTGGCTCTGTGGGAGTCGTACGTGCCGTGCCTGGGGAGGGGGTGGCCGTGAGCTCCTCCTGGCTCTGTGCGCGCTGCCCCAGTGCCCTCTGCACACCCACCGGGCTCCAAGAGCTGCCACCAAGCTGGGCTGGGACTTGTTAAAACAGCCGTGATCCTGAACCCGGGATCTCCCTCTCTGTGCCTCTGAGAGGAACTGAGTTGGTTTAATAAGAATATATTGTAAGTGCAGTGCTGCCTTTGTGCTGATCTCTGTGTAGCTCACATTTCACAGCCTCATGGCTGTTCAGGGACCCGAATTTAATGCCTGTGTTCCTAAAGGGTTCACTTTGAAAGTCAGATCAATTTGGAGTTAATGGTATTGCTGCACAAAACACAGTAACTACTGGGTTTGGGGGCAACCTTTACTGCAGGGCTATTTTCCTGGGCAAAAACATTATCCAACTGGAGAATTCAAAATGAAAGTAGCACGAGTGTATTTACAGAGCTGTGACTGACTATTTATTTCCTAGAATTAGGTCTTGGGGGAGCTGAGTCTGTCATCCTGGGGAGAAAAGTCAGCCCTCTACACATGAATATTTCCTTCGCAGAAAATATCTGGTTAAGCCATGTATTTTACCAATTCCTTTGTTTTATGCTCTGTATTATAAAAGAAACAGCAAATAGCATTGACCTAAAAACACCCCAGACCCAAGAGCTGTGTTGCCAGCTGACCTGACTTGTCTTTATTTCTTTTTCTAGTCGTACTTGTGCATGTCAAGGACTTGACCCAGAAACTTGTGGAGCATCATTCTCATTTGGCTGTTCATGGAGTATGTATTTCAATGGCTGTAAGTTTGCCAGGAGCAAAAATCCCAGGAAGTTTAGGCTTCTCACTGATGACCCTAAGCAAGTAAGATTTCTTTTTTTTTTTTTTTTTCCCTCCAAACACATCTTCTGATGATTTTCAGAACTTGAATTGGAATCTCTGAGTCCCCATCCCCTTTTCTCTCATACACATGTGCAGAGCTTACCACAGACACACAGCCAATTCAGGTTTTTTAACTGTAGTATTCAGAATCATTATTCCACTGGATGAAAACTCAGTGTCACTTATGTATTTAAATGCCCTAAAATTATCCTTAAATGCTTCTCTGCGTGTTCAGCTCTCTGTGTAACCTGTGGGAAATGTTCACTCTTTGGAAGTGTAAGAAACAGCTCAAGGGTTTCTCTAAGGACCAAGCCTGTAGCTCAGACATTGAAGGCTTCTGCCTTGGCACAGAAAATGTCATACTTTGGGGTTGCACTGCTTTCCCACCTCTGTAGGACCAGCTGACAGCCTGGGCTTCCCTCTGTCACCAAGAATAAACTGGGTTTTTTTCTGTGGACAGCATGTTTTTTAAATGTTTTGAAGGAATGGCTACACTAAAACAAGATGCAGTGAAGTGATTCTGTTAATTGCTGATTAGGAGGGCTGATGATGTCACAAAGGTTGAGGCAGCACAGAAGTTTATGATGGATTATATGAAGTAACAAACATGTAAAAAACCCAACCCCATTAGTGTTTTACTCTGAAAATATTTTCATGAGGAAGGAATAAAGGTGTTGTGAGCTGGAGGCAGAACTGGCTTAACCCAGCCTTGCTTGTCTCGAGAGGGAATTGTTTTATAAACTTTATTTATAGAAAAATGTGTCTATTTGGCTTCTGTTATTTGAGGAATCCTGTTCCTTCTGCCTTCTGCCATTCCCTGTGTGTTCAGGTTCTCCCTCTGTCTAAAGCTGTTCATGGAGCATTCTGGGCAGGCACATTCTCTGTAGGTTTGGGATGCTCTGAATTAGCTGGGGAAGCCACCAAGGCAGAACCTCCCTGTGAGTCTGAGCAAACACAGAGCTGAGGCAGCTCCAGAAGCTCTGTGGTCAGAGCAGGCTCAGTGGCACTCCTGTTTTTGGCATTATTTCTTCTAGCAGCTACTTCTTTTAGCTAAATGCTGGCTATTGATGATATTGCAGATGACATAAAGCTAAGAGGTATAAATAAAATTAAATTTTCAATTACGAAAGCAAATCAAGAAAAAGATAAGTTTAAAGTCCAGGAAGAGTTGGATCATTTGAAGCAGTGGATGGAGTGAGATGGGTTAAGAGTTATAAGTTAATATCCCTAGGTAAGAATGGTGCCTCGGGTAGATAATGGAGGATATGTTACCTTCAGTGCAGTTCAGAAACCCTTGTGGAGGCATTTCCAGCTGATGAACTGGCTGTGGGGTGAGTTCAAAACACACTGTCCTGGAAGGGAATGCTGCATGGAAAGAAGTGAGTCTCCTGTACACTGGTGTCTACAGGATATGGGGACAAGTGGGTTTGGGTTTTTTCAAACAAAACCAGCTGTTGTTTTTTGCATTTCCACACGATGCAAAAATGAAGCTGCAATTGTGTCCCAAAGCCTGGGCCTTGCAGGAGAACAAAGCGGGTCTGTCACCAGTTGGTTGGTGATTTTTCTGGAGAAGTGAAAACTTAGGATAAGAACTTGAATGTGATGCTGCCATACAAGCCCACCCAGCTAATTCTGAGTTTATGTGGCTTAGCCTAAGGAAAGGAGTATTTCCAAATCTAATAGGTATTTCCATAAAGTCCTGAGTTTTGTACCTCCAAAGAACAAAAGAGTTAACAAATGTTCCTGGTGGAAGTTCTGTTGCAATATGAGAAATGTACCTCTGAGAAAAGACCAAAGAGCTGAAATGAATGTTAAATGCAATTGGGAGTTTCTCGTACAGTTAAAGGAAATGTGCTGGAAACCTGGGCTTCTTTTAGCAGGGCTGTGTCAATGTGGATTAAGGCTCATAGGCAAAACACCAAAAGAAGACCTGAGGCTCTTTCCCCACTCACACAGGGTGTGAGTTTTGTCCTCTGGTTTTGTATGGAATGTGCCTCGCTCCTTGACACGAATCAGAACTGGTGCAGAAATGAGTTCCCCCATGTTGGGTTTCTTTGCCCCAGCAGATCCCCTCCATTGTTGTTTGCTGATTTATATCTAACAGTGTTGGTGTTTTGGTCATACCAAATAGACATTTATGGCTGGTGACAAAAGGCAGCAGGACAGAAGTCAGATTAATAAAACAGGAGATAGAGGCTGAGCTGTCGGGCCTCTCTCACCTGGCTGAGATGCTTTCAAAGCCACCTCTAGCACTGAATGTCGCCTTTCTCTGCAGGAGGAACTTCTGGAAAATAATCTGCAAACGTTGGCTACTGATGTGGCTCCGGTGTATAAGAAGCTCGCTCCGGAAGCCTTCCAGAACCAGGTAGGTGTGTGACACTCAGCTCTGAGCAGCAGGAGCAGCAGGGTCGTCTCAAACCTCACGGTGCAGCTGCTGCTTCTGTGGGCGTTTGGCAGGTTCTGATGTACTGCACCTCTGGATTTGAACTGGGGGTTAAGTTATGCCCTGAGCTGGGCACAGGTGAAAAAGGCTCAGAGATAATACTGTAAATAAATTGGTTTTACTATTTCAAGACACTTTGACTCTGGCTGACCTGATTATCTTGCTGATATCCAGCCAGAAGTGTTCCGTGTTTGAAAGGGAAGTATGTGCTTTCTGATCACTGCGGCTTCTCGGCTGCCTTCACTCTGCCACAAGGGAGGTGGTGGCCCTGGGGCTCACAGCCCCTCCCTCTGAGTCCCAAGTAGCTGTAGTTTATTGTCCTTGCAGGTGGAGAACGAGCACATGGGCCCCGACTGCCGGCTGGGCTGCCAGGCGGGCCGGCCCTTCTCCGGGGTCACGGCCTGCATCGACTTCTGCGCCCACGCGCACAAGGACACCCACAACATGCACAACGGCAGCACCGTGGTACGTGGCGCGGGGCAGGGGGCACCCGGGCAGGGATCACTGCGTGGATGGGGCTGGCTCGGGGATCGGCTTTGGGATCGCTGTAGGATGGGGCTGGCTCAGGGATCACTGTATGGATTGGGGCTGGTCAGGGATCACTGCATGGATTGGGGCTGGTTTAGGGGCCGTGCACAGAGCCAGGGATCAGTGTGATCACTGAATCTCAGTGTGGAAGGGAAAGCCACAGATGGGTGTGGCTGTTGTACCAACACCTCGCTGGACTGCACTGAGAAAATGGGTTGGGAATTACTCAATTCAGTGATCTTTTAGAAATACAGAACAGTGTTGAATCAAGCTGAGCTCAGAGCAGCAAAGACAAAACTGGCAGTGTCCTCTGAGCAGCTGGAGCATTGCAGGGCTCTAAAGAGTGAGGGTGACTTCTTGTATAGCAGTGCAAGTAACACTCAAGTAACTTTTCTATCAAAGGACGGATATCTAGAAAAAAATCTATCTAAAATCTCTGCCCACTTTAGAAACAGTCTTTTTTAAAATTTGGAAGTGCAAATTGAATTAGTGTTGCTCTGATGCCATAAAATGTTGTATTTACACCTACAGTTAACATTCAGGTTTGAGATGTAGCACCAGTGAAATGACTGAGACAGTTGTTTCATGTTAATTGTGTGCTTGTAAGGAGAGCAAATGGCTGTTCCTTTAGAGCATGGAAGCAAGTCTGGGAATTCACCAGGAATGTCAATCCTAAGGAGACTATTTTTGCCAGCACTGAATGCCACTTCTGTGTGGATATTCTATAGAAGAATGTTAAAGTGTACATTGCAAAATTGCTTCTGAAGTGTAGGAATTGAATGCTCTTGAAGATCCTAAACTTGAAAATGAGGCTTCTTTGTCAGACAAAATGCATGGTATGCTCTTTGATGAAATTTAGTTCAGGTGTTCTGAAAATGCTCCATTGCCTCTTAAATTAAAAGACAAAATGAAATGGAAACCAAGCCTTCTACTCATTCTGCCATACTGGATCCCAGAAAAGTCCTAAGTTATGGCCAGAAGCGGCTGGAGGGACAATTAAACCTTTTGTATTGGGGAACAGTTCTACAAATGCATTTATCTGTAATCACCTGATGTCACTGCAGCGTCACATTATCCTTGCTGGTGTTGATACTTTATGGCTTGTACAGGGTGTGTTTGCAGGTAATTCTGTCTCAGAATCAAGGCCATTGTGTGGGCCAGAACTTACCATCACTTCCTATCAAGTTCTGCCAAATTCTGTCAGTCTTGCACAACATTACCACCTCATGTTAACTGCTGAAAACTGTACCTTGCAACCTGGTTTTCATTGGGCAGCTCCCTCACAGATAACTACTGCATACCTGTGCTCTCCTTATTTAGGTGTGATTGCTCTTTATTTATTCAGTGTACTTACAGCAAGGGGCTATTTGTAAATAGGAAAAAGCTGTAAGTTTTACCTGCTTCAACTGGGACACTGAAGGTGAATCAGAGCTGGAGATCCCCTGTGGTCTGTGGGGACAGGACACAGCATGTGTTCTGGCTGGGTCACAGTTACAGTAACATGGACTGGAACACTGAAGCAAAAAATGCTGGTTTTTTGCAGACAGGGTGGCAGGACACGCTGGGCTTGCTTCAATCTAGATTGTTGTGATGGCAGTCAAAATTAGGGTTGTTAATTTTGGCTTATAACCAAATCTGGTAATACTATAGGAAACTGGTAAGAACACAAAAAGAAATTAGTATGTGTGATCCCAGCACCTGTCTGGGCACCTCCTGCAGTCCTGTCTAGTTCCAGAAGCTGCTCGGGGGCTGCTTCCTCAGTTTAAAATTCGAGATGATTTCTTATGAATCACTGGCCATAATGATGGAGGAGTCACCTACAGAACTGTGTCATGTTTTGTCTGTAAAATGCAGTGTGTGCAAGTACAACACCTGAGGTGACAGCTCTCACACACTGCTCTGATAATGTGGTAATGGACAGGAGGAGAATGATTTGCACTACCTTATAAACCTCAAGCATCCATGGTTTTACTATTTTTGTCTGGTGATTTGATTGTTTTTTTTCACTGCTCATCACACCTTACACTTTTCAAATCTCTACACAAGTGTACATGTCATCTTGGCCCTCATTAGTGTTGGTAAGATTTCTCCCCTTCCTCCTTATTCCAACACCAAATGCTCATTTATAAAATCTAAAGCTCCTCTGGGCTAAGAAGGTTCAAGTAAATGCCTTGTGAGATGGGTGAATGCTGCTGGTTCTGCTGGTGGAAGTGACACTTTCCCTGTTCTCCCCTTGCCATTGGTGCCCCGTGGTACCACAGGGATGGAAGGAATGCTGTGCAGGGCACCCAAGGGAAGGGACAAACACAATCTGTTCAATCTTCTTAAACCAGGCACAGCAAAACACTTGGGTGAGGTTAATGATAAGGAATGAGTTGACACTTAAAAGAATATATTATCCAGTGAGCTGCCAATAATAACTTCCTTCCACTGCCTCTGCCAGAACTTCAGGAAAGCATTCTTGGATTTCTCTAGGTATGTATTTGATCAGCTGCATTATTTGTATGTGAGTGAGAATAAATCAGGCTGTCATTAGCAGTGGGAGAGTCTTGGAAATGCCTTCTGTAATACAAGAGAAAACAGAGCATCTTAACTTACCCAAATTGAGGATTACTGTTGGTAATTTTTGGAGATCTGAGAGACTGAACATCGTCCCTTGGCCAGCAGAGTCATGCCCCGAATTTAGCAGAGCTGCTTTTGGTAGAAAGCTGAAAATACAAACTGCTGTTCCCTGCTTGTTCTGTACTTTTGACAGTTCTACAGAGATGTAAACTAATGTGCTTAGCTGAGAGAAGCCGAAGTAATTTTTGCCAATGAATTGTTTTTTAAGAACTTTAAGGCAATAAATACACTCTCCATTTTTACTCAGACATTTGTGTCATCTCTGTGTTCTCCAAGGGCCCAGCTGTACGTGACAGCTGCAGTGTCAGGGCAGTGTTCCCTGGGGGATGGAAGCCACAGGAGCAACACAGAGAGAAGCTTTATAGTTGTTAATGGAGTCTGAAATGTAAGTTCTGGTGTTTCTTTGCTGGATTAGCTGGGAAGGATCAGACTGCTCACACCTGTGGGAATCCCCTTCAGTCACATGAGCACAAGGGTGGTGCAGGCCCTGGCTGGGGCTGTGTGGCTGGGGCTGAGCGAGGGGACAGCGGTGCAGTTGGGTGGGATCCCTGGAGCCACACAGACTGCAGAGCCATTGGGAAGAAGGGCAGGAAGGTAAATCTGTGCTTCAAGGGCAGCTACAACATATAATTATTACTGGCAGCAGAACCAAGTAGTGTCAATCAGCAATCCATCCACAAAATGTTCCCGATTTGCATAAAACCCCAAAGCCTGTGTTGTTCCCATCCCTTCCTGTACTTGTGTAGGACAGCCCACCGTGTCCTCCAGGCCTCTGCACGAGCTGGCAGGACATCTCTGCATGGTTACACCACACTGCCTTTGCCTTGGGAGCTGCAGGAGAACCAGGGGCTCAGGCTGGGCCTTCAGGTTATAACAGAGGAGAGAAGATAAACCCTCTGGGCTGTAAAGGAAGGGTTTCCAGCTGTGTTACTGTGAAAATGGAGAAGCATTTCACAGTCCCTCTGGTAACGTGTGAGTGTCCAGAGAGCAGCTCAGGTGCTGTGCCTGTTCCAGTGCCAGGGGGCAGGGAGTGCTCGAAGGACAACACAGCTGGGGGTCCCCCCTACCCCCTCCAGTGCTGACCTGCACACCCTTGTCCAGGGGGATCAGACCAGCAGAACCCCACAGCTTGTCTCGGATGCAGGAGAAGCCCGGGGGTCTGTGTGTCCTGGCAGGCAAGGATGGAGCAGCACCTGGGCCCAGGAACAGCCACTCTGCTCTCCAGCTGCACAGGGAAGGTGTGGGGAGGGAATCTGCTGCCATCTTCAAGGTTTAGAAAGGCTGTTTGACTGCTCTGCTGAAACATGAATTTAAAACATCTGTTCTTACAACACAGTGGAAAAGACTCCATCATTTCTACATGTGAGGGTCAGGAGGACAAAGGCAGATCAGAGTCCCAGTATAATGCACTGGGAGCTGTGTGGCTACAGATGTTTCTCTGGAGATCTCTGGAGGGGATTGGATTGAGTTCTGGGGCACTTTAAGCTTAAAAGAAATTATTAATCAACTCTTACAAATACGCAAGTTTTACCATGACATCACCAAACCCAGAACAGGTAATGGATTTGACCACCACACACACTGGAAACCTAAACAAACCACTTGGCCAACATTTTCAGTGGCCTTTGAGCATCCTGAATGATTTAGCTGCATGTTCTGGAAAAAGCAGAGTAGCAGGATATGCAGCTTCACCCTGTAAAAGGCCTTTACAGAGCTGATGGTTTTCTCATGCTCGGGTTTGATTTTGGCCAGTTTGCAGCACAGTTTCAGTACCAGTGGAAAGTGTTGCTTTTGACTTCTCAGCAAAAGCTTCTCTCTGAGTTTTCTTAATGGAATATTTTGCACAGATTTGAATACTGGAATGTGGGGGTTTTTTAGCAGGTATTTCTCATTTGGTGGCTTCCCACCTTCAGCTGTAAGATGCTGGCTTATATGTACAGCCTTCAGTTGTAGCTAGTTTCCCTATAACATTAATTTTTCAATTATCCCTTTGCCATTGTGTCCTCACTTTTATGTTAAAATGTATTAGAGGGGCACTGACCTTGAAATTGTACAAATACTAAAATAGCTGTTGTGGTGTTTAGGCTGTAGGTGTACTGGTCTTCAGGCTCTTAACAATTTTGGATATGCATTCATTTCTTGATGTGTTCTGGCTCAGTATTTAACGTAGGGTGTGTTGGAGTTGACTACACTTTCACCATAGTTCTGTCAATATATTACAGCCCTCATCTTGTTCAGTGCCTCAAAACCGTTCTCCAGCTTTCCTGTTCCAAAGAGGGTTTTGGCTTTTGCATGGAAATTTATAACAGTAAACTGGATGAGGGTCTCAGTTTTCAAAATAATCGAGACCAGATTGAATCTTCAGGACTTGTGCGTGAGCCAGGCACAGGCTAGACATGGTATCCTAAAAAACAAGTGGGAATTGCCTAGTTCCTGATGAGAACAAGTGGGAGCCAGGCCTCTTAATGCTCATTTCCTTACTGCTTTTGATTTCAGTTTAGAGGGGGAGGTTGTGTTGGGCTTTCTGAGAACACCAGTCATGTGTACTTGTGCTCTCTGTATGTCTGACCCTCCCTCACCTTTCCCAAATAACTTGGAATCTGGTGGCAACTTTCAGCCAGCTTTCACTGAACTTTTCAGAAACTGAATTGTCTTCGGAGATTTTCCCTCTTGTTCCAAGTAGTGAACTCTCCCTGCTGAGTGCTGAGGTTTGGATGCAGGTCACCTCCAGGGAGGAGCTGCCGTGCTCAGCAGAGGTGGGAGCAGGGATGAGGTGCTGGGCTGTGGGGTGTGGGAGTCTGGAGCGGCAGCTCCGTTCGCTGCTCATCCAACAACGGTTGTTTTCTCTGACTCTCCCGTAGTGCAGAGGCTGCCCCGGAGGTGAGTACGCATGGAGCACCTCAACTGTGCTACAGCTGCCCCAGAGCCCTCCCTCACCCCGCCAGCTGCCTCCCGAAAGCTCCTCCCTTGTCTGCCCCTCAGAGCCCCTCCCGCTGCTGCTCTGCCACTGCCAAGCTTTGCATAGAGCCAGTGATGCAGCCCCAGCCACCCCCTTGTTGATCCAGGGTTTTTCGTTGGGGATTCTGCAACTTCAGTGTTCTAGAAATAACTGTGTGATGCCTTTATGCAAAAGCTGTGCTGTAAAATTAAAAATGTTTTGTTTTTTCCCCTCCTAAATAATAACATAATTCTGCTCCCCTGGAATCTTAGGCTTGGTGACAAGATCCTGGGAAATTGGAGTGACTGTTTAGGATAGGCATGGCATTCAGCCAACACAGTGATGGAATGATATGTTTCCACTTAGGGAGTATCATCCCATCCTTGGATGGATGGTGCTGGTATTCCTCTGTGTGTGTAGTTAGTAACTCCTGTGCAGTAGCAGCTGAGGTGTGAGGTGATGCAATGGTCCCTCAGGAATGCCACTGGTGAACCCAGGAAAGGGTGACTGTTTGTACCTGTGCACAGGCACACGGAGCTGTCACCATCCCTTGGGAGTGACACAGGAATCCTGCTGGTTTGAGTGCTGCTTTCAAGGGGAAGGGTTAGTGTTAGTAACAACAGGAACTCCAGGACTGTGCAAGTGTTCAGCTTACAGTTGCAGTAAGTTGGATTATTTATTCCCATTTCTGATGTGCCCTTATCAAATTGGATGTAACCAGCACTGTCCTGGGCTCCAGGATCTCACAACCCAGAATGACAGAAAGGAGGGCAGTGGCCTAACAGAACATTTCCTGGGTCCTGTGGCTTAATTACAGTGGGGTGTTAATTTAAGAGAGAGGGAGTGAGTTAGAGCTGAGATTTGCTAAAAATGTAGAGCAGTAAAAGTAACTGTTTGCAGTGGGTTTTTTCATTTGCCAGCCAAAACCAAAACCAATTCTAGATCATAGAAATTTCTTGTTCAGTTCAAAAATAATAGTTTTTTCTATTTTACAGTCCTTAAAAATTAATCTGATCATCAAAGATGTACTTATGTATTTAGAAAATAATTGGAATGCGTAGGAATTTAACACTATTTACAGCTGAGATTATTTTCCAAGGTTGGCATAAATTTGTGGGTAGTGTGAGCTGAGGCAGAGTTTCATTTTTCCTGTCCAAGACACGTGCCTTGATCTCATTCAAGTACCAATAACTTTTCTGTGTCATCACAGATCAAACAAAATGTGTGTCAGATGTTTGCGTTTGAAAGCCCCACAGCGCTGAGGCCGTAAATGCAAGCAGGCAGTGAGGCCTGGGGTGGCTGCCCCAATATCCCAGCACTGGGTCTGTGGGGTCACCTGTCACTGTCCCTGCTCTTGCCAGGTCTGTACCCTGACGAAGGAAGACAACCGGAGCGTGGGGGTGATCCCGAGTGACGAACAGCTCCACGTGCTGCCTCTGTACAAAATCTCACAGACAGATGAATTCGGCACTGAAGAGGGCCTGGAAGCCAAGATCAAAGCCGGGGCCATCCAGGTGCTCACAGCATTCCCCAGGGAGGTGCGGATGTTGGCTGAGCCTCTCAGAGCCACCAAGAAAAAGAAACCAGACACAAGGAGGACCCCGAGTGAAAAGCAGCCATTGATAGATAAAAAATATTCAACACCGGTAAAGCTGAAAACCGAAGCCCCAGAAAATCTGGGCAACACTTTGCATTGTTTAGGTGAGTGATGCTTATGAAATCCTGGCAGTCTCTTCTGATCCTGTGTTGCCTCTTGCACAGCTGAGGGAGGGAAAAGCTCCTCAACACTGGGTTTCATTAGAGCTGTGCCTGGGCTGAGCTGTGTGGAGGTGTTTTGGATGCACACTGTGGTACCGGGCTCGGATTTTGGGCCAGTCCTTCCCAGGGCAGAACTACGGTATGGGACTGGGCAGTAATGGGAAGTAGAAGAGAAGGAAGAGGTGGAAGAAGCCATGGACTCGAATTCCCTGATTAGCAGGAGAAAAATAAATAAAAGGAATTAAAGCACAGGCTATTCCCTGTTAGGAAGAAGGGAGGAAAATTAGCCAACCTGCTGTAATTTTGTTTCATGAGAACCATCCAGATATATGCAGATTTAAGGGGAGGAATGACAGTGAAATGTATTTAGAAGAATGTCTGCATTTGGGGGAATAACATTTAAAAAACCAAAAATGCATTTGTCACCTCTGGTAATGGCACTGGGCACTCTGTCTCAGGAGGGGAGTCAGGGCAACTGAGGAACCAGCTCAGTATTGCTGACCCTGGGACATCAGACAGACATTCAGTTCATCCACGTGCATGTCTGGGGACACAGCAGCTCCATGCTAGGCTGGAAGTTCCAGAAGCATTAGAGGGCTCTGGTTTGGGAATGAATCCTGAAATGGTTTGATCTCACTGCAGTGTCGTTTTGAAAGTGTGAGAGAGGTTTATGGCCCACCTACCTGAACATGACATTGCAGGTGCAGCAGCCACGGCTTCCACACCTGGAAACCTTAACCAGTGCTGCAACAGCCAGGGTGTCCATGTGCCCTGGGAACACAGAACTTTATTCCTTGGACATGCAAAAGTAATAAAATAACTGCGTAAACAAGCCAACTTAGATCATTTGTTTGGACTTGAACTATTTTTGTAAAGTAATTCAAAAGGGCTGGTGATTAAAGTAAGGCACAGAGCAAGGAAGGAACACTTTTATGAATGAGAAAGTTGTTCAGGGATGGAAAAATAAGAATGTGAACAGAATATTTAGTTTCTATGCTGAAAGTGCAGCTTTTGTCATGAAGTTCTGACAGTGGGGTTCCCCAAAGCAGATGTGAGCACTGTGAGCCCCACACGGGCCCATGGCCCTGGTGCTGGGAGTGCCTGTGTGGGAGGCAGTGGTGGCAGAGGAAGGTCAGCTCAGCGCAGTGCTGGGCTCTGCCAGACAGGAACGTGGGGAGTTTCTGTACCTCTCTTCAGTGCTCTCTCCAGTCCCACAGGCTGAGGGCTGGGGACACTGCAGCACCCCAAAGCTGCCTTGCCCAGAGTACCCTGGGTTTGGAGCACTGCAGTGCTGTACTTGTACATGCAGGTCTTGCAGTTACAGGGGATCAGTCTCCAACTGCCTCTTTGGTCTCTGCCAGGGCAGATACCGTTTTAGTCCTCAGGAACAGGAACCTGGAGTCTAGCTGAGAGTGGCAGACTTAGTATGAAAACAGGACCAAAGGGTGTGGAGACAGCAGTTAAACTGGGCTGTTCAGTAGCCACTCCTGATGGTAGACCAGAGGGAATGATTAATCAGGATCCTTTCATGTAATAGAAAACGGAATGGAAGAAATCCTGATTAGAGTTTTTGGTAAGCAGTGAATACAGCACTGCTCAAGGCTGTTAAGCAAATCAGAAATTACTATTAAATTTTCTCCTGATGGAAGAACAAAAGGATACTTAGCTACACTCCAGCTGTAGAGGGAGGTGGATAACTGAGGCAGGTAATGTAGAGTACTCGGTTTGCTTACTGAGGGCAAGAGTTGAGAATATTGGTTTGGTTTTGCAAATATGAAAAAGGACGTGGAGGACACGCAATAAGATGGGATCCCGTGGGTGGTAGATCTGTTGGCCATGTGCTCAGCCATGTGGGGCTGTCAGGCTCTGGAGCAGCCTGGAGGAAGATGGAGTCACAAGACTATGCCGTGCTGCCCACGATGTAGGTGTAACCTGTCCTTCTGGAAGAGACCTGACCTTCACTTGAGAGCCACTGCAGAATGGCCCAGCTGCAGAGCTTGAGAGACCCCTCTAACCTGCATCTCTTCCCATCTGGAGCACTGGAAATGAGAAAGGAGTAAGGGAGGACTCATCTTCTACCCTCACCTGGCAGCCAGAATGGTGGGGAGGAGCCTGAGCTTGTGAGGGCTTGGTCTGAGTCTCCACTGGGCCCAGGCATTGGGGGAAAGTATTAAACAGTGCACTTGGCATGCACCTTTTACCAACTGCAAGCAGCACAACCCTCAATTTTTACACTTTCTAGTTCTGAAGGCCTTTGAAATTCTAAATTAGTATGAAATGTGTATTAATGACAGAGGCCTTACTTCCTCCCTTGCGTAGTCCTGTCTTTTAACCACATTATTTGGGACAAATAAACATCAAAGATGGAAGTTATTTCTGTCTCTGTAAATATCAGCAATTCTTGGCCCATATCGGATAGATCAGGAGAGGACCACCAGCTTGGTGAGGGGCCTTGGTCTGGGGGGAGCTGTTCTAATTACATTAAATACTTTGTGTTTGATTTCATAGAAAAGTCTTTTTTAAAAGAGTCATTGTGGCTTCCTTATATCCCCCTCAGCTTCAGTTCTGCACACTAACTGTTGTGTCTGTAATTTATCCCTTGACTTTTTGCGTTCTTGTTGGAGGAATGGCTTTTAATCCATCACTATTTATAAATTATTAGAAGACAGAGTAGAAGAAAGAATAGTTCTGTATTGAGTACAGCAATTAAGCATTCTGTGTATTTATGGAACAAAGAAGAAACACTGACAGAGACAGCACCTGAGAGCTCTCTGGGGGTGCCAATCTGCCAGCCAAACACAGGGAAAGCGACTGCAGGGCACGATGCAAAGCCCATCCAAGACGATGGAATTCTTTCCCATGGATCCAGTGGACTCTGGATGGAACACAGCCATGATGAGGTTCTGTCACTGAGGAGCTGTTCCACACCCAAGCCCAGCAGCAGGGGCTAGAAATAGCTTAGGGAGCTGACAGGGACTGAACAAGTGTCTGCACGAAGGTGTGAAGTGATTCCTGTGAGGCAATTCCATGGGAAGGTGGCAGACACCAAATCACGGGATCCAGCTCTGTAGGGATGGATTTACCTGGAGCGTGTTGCCAGATCCTGTTTTTTAAAGGCACTTGTAAGTCGATATTGCAAGGCAGCAGTGGTTGTAACTCAGGAACTGTTTTGGCTGTGACAGATAAGATAAACAAGCTTTTCCTTGTCATAATACAGGGTCAGGGCAGCCCAGAATTTTGACTGATTCACAGGCTTAATTTCAGACAGGCTGAATTTCATCAGTGATGTAACAACTGAAGGCCAGCAGTCAACTGCTGAGGAGCTCTTGTGTAGGACTGGGCTGTGTGAATTGGGACTCAGTAGTTATTTCATTTTATCTGTTTATTTTATTCATCCCTTTGAGAAATGGAGGGTTTTTTTATGTACCAGCAGCCTGACTGGAAAAGGTTAAGGTGTTAATTCAACAAGGTTATTACATGTATACTTAAGGTCATAGAGATATTCCTAAAAAGCTTAAAATAACCATTTTGAAAAATCTGTAGTCATCATGTACATTTTGCATGCTAGAAAACAAGTATGAAAATATTCCAAGAGGTGTGTTTTATGAACTGAGGAAAGGTACTTACACTTTGGTGTGCGTTTCTTCTAGGGAACAAAACAGATGCTTTAAAACCTGGAATAAAAATGGAGACTTCCAATCACCTGTATGCCATGAAACATACTCCAAACACTACTAAAAATTGCTCCTTGCTAAAGCAGTGCCCAGCTTCCTCCCCCTTCAAGGTGGATAGTTTACATCCTTGTCCATCTCTAGCACATAAGCCTGGCCTGACAGCAGTGACTAACATTCAGCAAGATTTTTCAGTTCCCTACGGGTATTTTGAATGCAGTACCAAGCAACCTCACGTCACCCCTTACGTCAATTGCAAGAGCTTCGATGTGTCTGTCAAGGATTATACTGGAATTCTGCTGGACGAGAAGGTGAATGGGGTGCCACCGGTGCTTCCCGAGGTCACTGCTCCAGGCCCTCCAGCTCACACGGACCCCCTGCTCACTATACTTGAACATCAGCCCGACAAACAGAACTGTCAGCTCCAGCTGGACAGCTCTTCCTCACAGATGGTCAGCTCCTGTGACCCGTCAGTACCGCTAAGCTCTCTGGCCACGGATGCCGTCAGAAACGGAGCCGACTGTTCCCACGGATGCCCGGTGGAAAAGGGCAGCTCCCATCGAGGACAGATGTGTGACTTGGACTGTGCTGATGAAAAGCAAAGCAGTGCACTGGGACACCCGGCTGATTCTGAAGAAAAGGCTGAGGAGTTGTGGTCAGACAGCGAGCACAATTTCTTGGACGATGACATTGGTGGGGTTGCTGTGGCACCTTCTCACGGTTCTATCCTAATTGAATGTGCCAGACGGGAACTCCACGCCACCACACCGATCAAAAAACCCAACCGGAATCACCCCACGAGAATTTCTTTAGTTTTCTACCAACACAAAAATTTAAACGAGCCAAAACACGGTTTAGCCATGTGGGAAGCAAAGATGGCTGAGAGGGCGAAAGAGAAAGAAAAAGAAGCGGAACGACTGGGAACGGAGAACTCGGAACTGAGCTCCGGCAACAGAAAAGCAAAGCAACCAAGTGAAAACAGAGACCTTTTTTACGAAGACAATGAGTTCAACCAAATTCCCTCCCGCCGAGCGCTGACAGTGACCAAGGACAACGTGATCACGGTGTCCTCGTACGCCCTGACGCGCGTGGCAGGGCCCTACAACCACTGGGCGTAGGTGGCGGGGCCCCTCCTGCGCAGGGTCACACGGGGCTTCTCCAAGGTGCTGTTCAAGAACAAGTCTCCTGTCGTTTACTATTTGCTCATCTCAACCATTTTAAGGCTGAGGTAGAAAAAAAAAAGGGGGGGATTTCTTCTTAAACTGTGACTTTAAGATTTGGTGGTGCTCAAGCACATTTTAAGCAAAAAAAAAAAAAAAAAGAAAAGCTGTATAGTTTTAATACATTCTAAAAAAGATTTTGTTTAGGTTATTAACCTTGATTGAATCATTCAGTTTATTACCTTTAGGAATTTATATTTTGGTGCTTTAAATAAAGTCTGTTTACTACAAAAATCATTTATAGGGATTTTAACAGGTTCACATTTTATGGTGTTAAATCAAGTTATACAGTTATAGCTCTACACAGCTCTTGGTGCTTAACCACATCAAACAGTTAAAAATAAATAAGCTGAATTATTACTTCATGGTGCCATTGCTTTAACAACTTCCAACCATTGCTATATAGTCCAAATTACAGATAAATCTTTTAGAAAACCAATGAATTTTGTTCTTTAGATTTGTCATTATGTATAAAATGAAGCTATTGGTAAGGATGGCTGGAAGTTGTTTTTAAGCTGTAAATATATATTTTAAAAGCACTTTCTATTTTTAAAATTAACTTGAAATAGTATAGTCTAAGGATCATATTGTCTAAGGTTTGTGCATACTCTACAGAAGTGATTTTATTCTTGCTGTGTAGAGTTCCGTGTTGTTACAGCTGCAGGATGTGTGCTCACAGCAAATGTGGTTGGTTTGAACTTGCCCTTTTTCATTGAAGATTTTGTGTTGCATTTAAACAACAGTTATCAATTACAGAACCTTTTTATTCCTTTCGAGAGAGTGTACAAAGGTGAACCCAGGAGATGTCTGGTCAGTACATGTGTTGCTATTGGGAGAAATGAACATGGTTTGCTTTTTTTAAAGGCAGCATTTTATTATGGTTTCTTTGAGCAATAACTGTGTAAGTCTCATTCCTTTGGAGCATTCTAAGTTAACATGACAACCAAATGTTCTTAATGCCTCAGGGGTAGGATTGTTTTGGGATAAAGAAAATACCCCCTAGAGTTGCCTTATTCTGTTCTGGAAAAAAAAATTAATTTGAGGAAATGACAAAGAAAGCGTTGGAAAATTATTAAGCTTCTAATATTTAATAGCAAAATTCTCATTAAGAATAACCTACCTGCAATATTCATCAACTTTGAGTTCCGTTTTCTTACAAAAATGTTTTGTAAAATTTTGAAGTAGTTTATACATTTCTCTTGGAAAGGGTTGTATCCTTCCTTCCAAACATGAAACTTGTGTTCTCCATTTCTGTTGAAAAAGTGACATATCATGAAACAAGTATTTGCTAAATCAGAGGAAAAACAGACACTCCATTGCTTTTAAATAGTGTAGCATCCCACTCTTCTTTCTGATTCTCCTCTCCTATGTATTTCTTTTTTAAACTTATTTATTTAAACAAATTACCAAATGACGACGTTAGCTGGGGACTGAGCTCATCCTGCACCTGGTCCCACGGGAGCCAGAACTCCTGGGGGAGCTGCAGGGTCAGGCCCTCACACAGAGCTGGACCTTCCTCCTGCCTCACGCCCGGCCCGCCGGGCAGCCTGGCGGTAGAAGCAGGTCAGAGAGTTGCAGTGTGCAAACGTACTGATGATATACTTGATCCATTATGCTGTAGTGGTGCTGTGTAGAGGCGGAGCAGCTGCCTAGAGCTGCTCCATTGCAACCCAGACAAGGTGCTTTTTCCTGGGGAAGCTCAAGTGCAAGCACTCTCTTTACAGTTCTGGTACGACAAGTCCATCGGTGGTGTTTTTAACACCTGGTGCCAGTCGGGACCTTGGTGCTACAACTCCTTGGGTGTGGCTGCAGAGCCTCGAGCCTGTGCTCCTGCCCCGGGGTGGGTGTGCAGGAGCGAGGGCTGAAGTACCAATCACTCTGTAACGACCCCGGGTTCTGTTCCGCACATTCTGTTCCAGTTAACAAAGCTGGCGATGGCAGAGGATGGAGGGACTGAACCCGTTCTTTGTCTCTTACCTATTTTAAGTAAAGTTTGTAAAAACCGGGTATGCTGCAAATTTTAGTTGAAAGCTTAATATTAGCTCAAATAGAGGATATGAAGGGATTGTAAATAATAAAACAGAACCAATATTATGCCATCGTTTTGTACCAGCAATTTTATGCTTATTGACTATGTAATATACAGTATACATCAAATCATTATGGTATTTTGTGTGCCTTAGATTTCCATTGTAACCCTTGTCTGTTTTTGGTGAGCCCAAGATCGGTAGGAGTGGCAGCTGTCCATACAGTGAGCAGTGCTGTATGTTCCCAGCTGTTCTGAAAGCCCTGGTCCCACACCACGAGCTTAGATTATTGGTTTCACTGGTAGTGCTGACAGCTTCAGTTTCTGTAGTGCTGTAATTCAGCACTCCCACATGATAAACACATTTTCCACACAAAATTAGTAAGTTACAGAGCCATCTCTTTACCTTTTAAAACGTTCATACCATTAAAGTGGATCATTTTTACTTGAATTTTCTCCCACAAATGCCCATATTTAACTTATGTGAAGTTCAACATAAAAATGTTCCATTGAATAACCAGCAGCTTTCCTCTAAGAAGTGAGGCACTGAAGGGTGGATCTAACACAGGTAGTCAAGGTCTACGTTTTGTGACATGGCAATTCTAACAGAGAAATGTGTATCTTAACAGAATAGTTAAGCTATTAACTGATAACTGATAGGTGCTAAACTCACAGTTACTACTTCATTAACATTACTTACCTGAGAAATAGCTCATCTCTACAATAACATATCCCTCGTGGTGCTCTTCCCTTGACTGTGTCCCCTAAGCTGCTTTTCCAGCATGTCCTGCCTGCCAGGCTGGCTGGGCACGGGGCAGGCTGTGCTTGGAGAAGCTGGTATTTTCTATTGCTGTACTGCAGGATAGAAAATGCAACTATTTACTGTTTGTACAACTCTGCTATTCTTGTAACACTTCAGAATATTTATCAGTCTTGTACACAAACTGCATTGTTTTCAGTGAGGTTATTGTTTTATAACAGTACTTGGTCTCTTAAGATTTGCTACTCCGTGGGTCTGTTCTTTCCTTTGCTGCCCACACAGCCACTTGTAATTTGCTCTTACCTCTTAACTAAGACCTTCTGGGATGGCCAGACCAGGAGCTGGATGTAAAACTAAGGTAGCTGGCGCAATGTTCTGGGTGGAAAACCAGGACATGGATTCAGGTCTGGGCTGGTGATGGGCTGTGCTCGCCTTTGGATCATTTTTCACAGTACACTACCAAAAACTGTCCTGATCCAACATGCAGCACCTCTGAATTCCAGAAGAAATGTCTCATCCCTTTCTCACTGGGTCCAGCAGCAGCACTCCACCTCCGCTCTGGAAGGAAGGAGCAGTGCTTGTTGCAGGAGCTGGTTCTGTTTGACTCCCTGAGTCCCTGTGGGAGTCACAGCAGTCATGCCCTCTTAAACAGGGAATTTACTGATTTTTCACATGCTGTTGTATTACATAGAACAGGAAAATATATTTCTATACATACTTTAGTCACAAGATCCAAGAAGCTTTGTAAGACCTTAAAATACTTGCAGCTTTCTACCTGTAACAGTTGTATTCAATCTTTTTTTTTAAAGGACTTTCTAAGCTAACCTTTACTTAGGAATAACTGCTGGTGAAAGTCCTTGTCTTACCTATGACAGTGCTTCTCTAGACTTAGCACAGGAAATACCTGTAGTATCTTAAGCCACATTTTATGTTAAGCGTGGGTAAATGACAACTTCTCTAGGACTTAAGATTCTTTGTAATATACAACTGTGTGGGGTTTTTTAATTTCCTTGCAGTATTTGGTGGGTTGTTCTCTTTTCCACAGAAATCCTGTAATTTCTAGGTCATCAGGAGGAAATAACTGTGCCCTCAGATATATGGAAAACTAAATTCACGGTCACTTGCATGCTTTGGACATGTTAACAGGAATTACATTTGGGCAGTGTTGGACAAACTCTCTTTCAGGACTGTTGTGGTCCCTGAAATTCTTTGTGATGTCTACTCCATAGTTGTGTTTTATTTCTTGTGTGACAGCTGTCTGCCTGTGATGATCTGAACTTAACTAACACAATCAGAGGTGAGGAGCAGTCCAATCACCTGGAAGTTCTGGCTTGCTTTATTTTATCAGGTGTTGGTCCAACTCGCAGGATGACGTGTAGAGAGATTGCCATGGATTGTTGTGACACCACGGTGCTGCAGTGTCTGTGTCACAGCATTGTTCTAACCAGGAAGATGTTTCCTTGTGGACAGGTGTACAAACTGACCTCTTCCCACAGCTCCTTCTTTGGTCTCTGCCTCCATATACTGGTTTAAAGGAAAAAAAAAGAGGGACAGAGCTGGTCACCCTTTCTTGATCTTGAGGCAAACAATGTAGCAAGCACTGCGTTCATCCGCAGTCTGCTGCCCCTTCCCACGGTCAGGATAGAGAGTATGGAAAGCTGAGGGGTGCTGGTTGGACTGGATGGTATTTAAGATCTTTTCCACCCTTAACAATTCCATGACTTTATACACAACATGAGTAAGGTACAGTTGGCTTTTTGAGACAACCCTATTTATACATGTGTTGTATGCCAGGGTACTTCTTTAGATTGACACTTCTTTTGGTACATGATTTTAAATTCATAAGCTTTTTTTATTTAGTCTGTGACACACTTATATTTGCCTGTAATCTAAACCAGAGTGACCAGTGTCAAAAATCTTGGGGATGGGACTACTTAGTGGAACAGTTCTATAACTGGTTTCAGTCTCTTTGGGGATTACCTGATGGTTGCTCAGTCTTCACAAGTTGTCTGTGTGCTGCTTTAGCATGTTGCTACAAAATCATAAAGGAAAGTTTTACACCTGAGGTTTCCTGAAAGACCAAGGATTTCTAATAGTAGTATCTGATCAGGCACCAGGGTATGGATCACTTCTTCTGAAGAGTGGTTAAAAATTGGTTGTTGATTACTTCCCCATTGAAACATTTTTGGTTTATTTAGAGAATCAAATAATCAGGTTTCCAGTTAACTTTTACATTTCTTGATGTAGTTATTACAGCCTATTCTTATATCTGCAAGTAGCCGAACAAAAGAGACTTTGCAAGAGTAAAAAACTGCTGACCCCTGAGAAGGAAAGGTCCTCCCTTCTCAGAGTACAGGATTTTTGTACTGTTTTTTCTCCCTGTTGTGCCAGCATCTCTGTGGAATGTCTCTTGTCTTCTGAGTTGGTCTAACAGCTCAGCCCAGTTCCTGACAAAAAACAGCTGCTGCAGCACCTGCATGACTGAAAGAGCAGGAGTGTTTCCTTACATCTTCTGGTTAGATCAGTCACGGTCCATGTGAGACACCCAAGTGTGGTGTAAGTTAAATGGTGCAAGTTAAATGCCTTAACTACCGTAGGGCTGCTGGGAAAAAAGATGTTCTTCTTCTGTAGCGGGAAATGGAATGGATGGAGCTTGAGCAGAAAATAATGAAGTAGTTGCTTCTTTTGTTAAAGGGTATCAGGGTGTCAGCATCACTGTTTCCTTCTTTCTGAGATATAAAGACTTCAGGATTCTTTTTCCAATCCAGTTCCCCAGTTCATCATCCCAGCATAGTGCTGACTTCAGTTTTAAAAGATACAAGATGCTTCTCGATGCCGTTTTCTTTAATTCTTCCCAGAACAGTGCATTTTCCTCTTTTCTTCTACTGGACCATTACATATGGCATTTTTCCACACATACTTGTATTCCAATACTAGAATCTTCCAACAGCATTCTTGCACTGAATGCAAGACCAGGGTGCTAAACAAGGTGAGGGTGACTTGCTGTGTCGGGTGTGACTGATCAAAGGTGCTGTTTCCAACACTGCACACCCTACACCATTCCTCAGAGTCATGGAATGCAGGGGGACACTCAAAAGCTCCTTGTGTAAGGAGGAGGACAGGTCTGGCACTTAATCTGCAGGGTTAGCAGGTACAGCAGACAAACTGTGTTCCAAAGAAGTGCTGTTGCAGTGGAGCAAGGGAACTGCTAGTTTGTTGTTCAGTTTTGCAGTTGTTGCCACACAACGTTTTGATACTGTCGTGGAAAATTTTGTGACCTGATCAGTATTTTACATGTATATCTGTATTTTTTATGATGATGTCATAATGGAAAAGGGTCTAGGGTATGGGAGTGGTCTTTAAATAAGAATGAAGGCCCTGATTCTCACTTATACTACTGTTCTTTGCATTGCAGTGAAAGGATAAAGGGGCCTTAAATGGATGTCACTTTAGCTTATGGCCTTGGAGTATCCCATCACACTGACCATGGTATCAAAGGTCAGTAGCATAAATCAAAACAGTTACCAAATGACTGATCTGTACAATCAGCTGAAATCAACTGCAGGGTGTTGCTGCTGTGCACGTGCTGGCCAGTAACATCCACATTGTTCTTAGTTTGGAAATGCAGGTTCAACAGAAACTGCCTTGGGGTTTACCAGGCTTTAAGTATCATTTATATTGGCTGTTCTTTGCCCAACACTGTCTCCAAAGCCAGTGTGGTAAAAGATTTGTGCCTCTAGGTAATGGCCAGCCCAGAAATCTCACAGAATTGTCAATAATACCATTTTTAAAGGATCTGGTAGTTTTTCTTAAAATACTTGCTTGCCTTTATCATAATTTGATCCCTTTTCCTTGCTGACATGAGGTGGGCTGTGACAATCTGCCCTGCAGAGCCAGCAGGGTGTGCAGCGCTGTGTGCTCTTGTCACACTGGGGGACTTTGGAACCCAAAGCTAAAAGCCAACACGTCCTGCCTGCCCTGACTGTGGTGCTACTTGCCGGGGAAACCATGGCCATTGCTCTGCATGCCGAGTCCTGCTGAGCTTCCCCTGCTGCTGGAAGCTTTATGGAAGCAATTCCCCCCATATATTCCATAACTGCAGTTATGGAATGCAAGGCAATGCAAATTTCTCATTCAAAAAACATTTGAGGAGAAGGAAATATACTTTCCTAACTCAATTTGTACACATCAGCAATACTGCAGAGCCCAATGAGAACAGGTTTTGTACCAGCTTTGTGAATGCCTGTCTGATCCATGCAACTCCAAAGGCAGCAGCTGAACTTCATGAATCTCTGCTCCTCAAAATGAAAAGATACCTTTAGGCCAGAAAACAAATGGGATATCCCAATACCACTAAATGAGAGCCAGTTCTAGCCAATGCCAACATTCAGACAGTTCAGTTTTTAGCAGTGAATTATTCCACGATTATTTGTTCAGTTTGGAAGAGACAGCTCTTCCTAATGTGGCAGTACCACAGCAGGTCACAGGTACTGACTGGAACTGGCTGTCACTAAGAACAGTAATAGGTAAGGACACTGTACTGAAATGCTGTGGCCAGTGAATTCCTTCCTGCCTTGCAAAGTTAAAAGACTAACAGTGAGCTGAAGCAAAGGTAAAAGAGCCAGCCTTTCTTTCCTTCTCTCTTCTTTTCTCTCTATTTTTCTTTCTTTCTTTGGGATGCATTTGATATTTATTTTTCAACTTTGAAGTTTTCTTTCCAGTTACCAACCTACTGTATTGAAATCTGGAACATCAATTGAACATTTTTTAAATAAAAGATTACGTACAGGGAGAAAAAAATCAGAAAGAAAAAGCACTTCATTATGTCACAGTATTCACAGGAAAAAGTATAAAAATTACCTGTTTTCTCAAAAAAACCCAAACATTTGGGGCCTGATTCTTTCCTAGTATAACTGAGCACAGCTCCCTGAGGCTGGTGGAGCTGTGAAGAGTTATGCTGGCTGAGAAATGGAACCTTAAAATCTTCTTTGCAGACAAGGGAACCCTTACCAGCAGTACTTGAAGACTTGTGAGTTGTGACTGCATGTTACTTGAAAGATCTAATTAAGCTATGTTTTTTGGTGCAAGCAGTTGTTGTACATGATTTCATGTTTATGTAGCAAGATGCATTGAAATGTTGATACTAGTATTGAAACATACATGTAAAAATTGTTGTCGTGGAAATTGTCTGTTCTGTTCTATTTTTCTTGTGTGTCTCATCTGTTTAGAACGTAAACTTCCTTTTTTTTTTTTTATTGTCCTAACTGAATAAGGCTAAATGAATACTGTAATTGAAAATATATTTTAAATCTTGTCATGAGTTTTTAAAAAGACTATTACAAATTGTATCATTCCTGATTACACAGAACTTTGTGGGTGGTTTTAAATAAATTTTATACTTCTATTTTGCACTTAGTCGCCTAATTTTTCTTTCCTGCTCTTAGCACTAATAACCATTGTCATGTGTAGAGGGTATTTAATTACCTCAGCCCTATAGGGCTACAGTGGGTTCACCCAAAACGTCAGCTGGGCTTCTGCACTGGGAAGGGCCAGGCCTAAACCCCGTTGCTGTTCTCAGTCTGCCTCATCTTAGGCTGGACTGACCTGTCCTAGGCAAGAGGAGCAACCACAAGAGTCTGAACCTCATCTCCTGACTAAAAAGGACAAAACAGTTTGTGAGCACATTCACACACTGTCTCTCTCTGCTACTTGTCTGGCAGAGCAAGCTTATGGCGACCATTTACTGTGGCATTTAATTCCCAGCTGCTGGAAACAGTCCAGGTTTTATTTCCTGCAAGTCAGAGGGTATGGGGTGGGTTTTTTTCCTTAAAACAGACCTCAGCATGAGCCTCCCTTAGCCTGGATGCTGTAGTGCAGAACAACACTACTGGACAGAAGTGCTGTTGTTTAGATGTGAAGAAAAGGAGGGACACGTATTTGCTTCTTTCCCTGCTCCAGTAAGCGCAGCAGCAAAAGCTGCTGTTACAAAGATCTTCCAGACGACTGGAATCTCCTAGAGGGCATAAAAATGCTGCTATCCCCAGGCTTCAGCAATGCCCTGGAAAGAAATGACACTGTGTGACACGGTGCATCTGGTCCCTGGGAGCTGGATGTGGTATCCAACAGGGAGCCCTCGACCCCCTCCTGTGGGAGCTGCTGCTCCTTTGGAGGATAGTCATTACTGGGGTTTTACAGCAGCATCCCCCGCACTGCCCCAGGCCTTCTCTGACTGTGCTGTTAAATCCTTCCTCGGAGCTATGTGTTCCACGGTTTGGTGGCAGTCAGTAACTCAGGTGTCTTAGGAAAGCAAGTGGATTTTAAAGGGCACTTCCACACTTGGAGCAGACCCAAGAACATCATTGCTGAGGAAGAGATGATGTGAAACTTTCCAGCTCCTTTTCAGGTACTGGTCACTTCAGTGCTTTTTTTATATAAATGATACAGGTAATAGAACACTGATGTAGCTTTTAAATTGTTAAGAAGCTCCAGCCTTAGATTACACTGCCTATTAAAATGATATTGTTGATTAATCTGTAAAATAAGCTTTTTTGCTGGTGCTACAGTTACAGTTTTCTGCAGTACTCCAGTACCCAACAGAGATTACAGAATGGCAGGGTTTGACTGCTGTTCAATTGTGCTGATCAGTGTTGTTAATATTTAGCATCTAGTATCAGCTTACATCTTCAAAAGGTTATTCACCAAAATAGTGTAGTTTCTGTGCGTTTTGTACATCAGAACAAGCATCGTATCTAAATGTAATTTAAACACAAGCAAGGCAGTGCTTCAGTTAGTTCAAGGAACAGCCTAGGTGGTCTAAAATAAAGTACCAGCAATCCCCATCCGTGTTTTTAACCTAAGACACACTGGAAAAATATTGAAAATGTGGAAATTAAACCCAACTATTTCAATAACCATTGGCTGCAGCACAATTCCCAAGATGGGCTTCCAATTCCACGTCCAATCTGTTTACTTCTGGATACTCTTTTGCTTTTGTGATTTACACCACTTATACAAAATTCTTAGCAGTTGAATTCTTGAAAATGTCTTTTTATACCAGGCCAAAAATTCATGACAATCCTGCTACACCACGTGTACATCTCCATTTGTAACTGGGTAACACTTCCCTGCTGTTTGAAGGAGTCCTGAATTGCTGCTGGAGGCATCATGACTTAAGCCTTTCTCCGCAGCCCAGAACAGTCAAACCTTTGTTTCCTGGGGCATAACAAGTCAGCAGATCAGTTTCTTGTGACCCCTTTGTTTTACAGAGTCTGTCTTTGCATGGTGATGACCTCGACTCCCTTCACTGTAGGAAGCCCTTCTGGGAAAGGAGGTCCCAGTGCTGTGCTTCATCACTCCAGCACTTCTGTGCTAGACCTTAACTCACCTCCCCAAGAGCAGAAAGCCTTGTAAGGACTCACCTGGGTCACAGCTGCTACAGATTTCAAGAGTGGGATTTGGTGATTTGTTGGGCTGTTGCAAATTATTCTGTGAGGGTAAGAAATAAGTGGCTCGGGTGTGGCACTGCATAACAACCCTCCTTAGGCTGTAGCTCTTGTGAGCTCGGATTAGCTGGGTACTCAGAAAAACAAATACAGGAAGCAAGACCTGCCTTTGTGCAGGGCCACTGTTCTTGTGGGCCCTGGGCAATGTGAATTACATGTTTTTTCTTCCAGGAATCCTGAGGAATTATAAAAACATTATAGCTCGCTCTAACACTACACAGGAAGCCTCCATGGTAAACTAACATTTATAGTAGTATTTTCTTGTTCAAATGGGACAACTCAAAAGAAAAGTGTATTTTGTGATTGGTTAGGAAAAGATAAGAGATATCCTATGCTCCTCAAAGAACTCTACGACTCAGGTAAGTACTTCTGCTGAAGTCAAATGCTAAATCATTTAAGTAAAGCCAAAAGTCATAAAATTAAAAGCCAAATCTGTCTGATTTTAGTTAGGAAACTACTGTACTCTTAAAAGATTAAAATGTCTCCCTTTTGCAAGAAATGTGTTTCTCTGAATTCTCAGCATTAACTACAATTACACAAAACAATTTTCAAAAGGGTTTCCTTCCAATACACCTTTTCAAACATAAGTGTTTGGTTTTGTTTTTTTTATTTTTATTTTGAAGCGTTAAATGGGACAACTTGGAAGAAAGATTTATTCTCTACTTGGTTAGGAAAAGATGTTTAGTTGCTCATGTAGAACAGCTATGAACACCTATCAACCTTAATGAGTTTTTTTTCAAACTCCTGCATGGAACAGCAGTGCAATGGTGTGGAAAACATCCAGGATTCAGCCCTCTGGCACACTGGGGCCAGCTGGAAATCAGGATGGACCAACCTCTTGTCAAATACAGGTCTTTTTAACATAAATTTAACAAAATAGATCCAAGAGCATCCAATCTCACCAGTGTATACAACAGACTAGAGATGTGGCAGAAATTCCCTATTTAGGGGCTGTACAGACTTCACTGCCCTTTCTCTGTGCTGTAAGACTGCAATTTTAACTCAGGATGGTAAAGGCTTTGATTAAAATCTCCAAATCCTTCCATTAAAATTCATCATGGACTACTTTCAGACTCGGATCTTCACCTCCCTTTGCACCATCAGTAAGTGCTAACAGCGTTCCTGAAGGGCTAAGATTCCTTTCCCTGGGTCACCACCAGTTCCCTCAGATTTGTTATTAAACTTTAGTACTGACTGTGTCACATGTTAGGCAAAATGTAAATGTAGAGCTGTGGTCATAAAGACCACAACAGAAGTTTTTGTGCAAGAAAAAAAAACTATGGTAACTTGCTTACATGTTATATGCTGCACTTGTACTACACCTTTAGCATCAAAAAAGCCATTAACTGAATGTTGCTGCCATCCCTGGATATCTAGAAGGGTAAAAGTGTGCTCGACTCTCTGGATGATCTCTTCTGGCCCTCTGAAGAGAATACATAAATAAACTCAACAGCTGCAAAGGGCAGGTTCCAGTAGTGACATAGATAGATCTGAAAGTTAATTCTGGAATTGAACAGGATGCATAGGAATGTACTTCCAACAAGAATATGAGAAAAAACCATAATAATCTTCCATGATCAAAGTTGTTACCTCATCAAAATTGAGTGAAATAACCACTCAAAGTGCTCACAACTTGAACTGTAGCTTTTCCTGGTACAAAGTTCTCTTCTTTCGTGTTTTTCCATTCATCTTTGTTAAGTGTACTGATTGTGCCAAAATATGTATGATGCTCTTTGATTGCAAGCTCCAAAAATTATCACTTATCTCCACAACATCTCCAGCTTATTCTTCACTCTCGTAACCACCCACAAAGCTGGAAGCAACAATATGTTTTATGGTTTTTGCCTTCAAATCTCTATCTTTACCTTATTAAGGTAGCCCATCTCTTTCAGACTCCTGTCCCCTCATCAATTTTGGATTAAACTGTCCAATGCACTTAAAAGATAGTCAGGGTGCCTGGAGTTATTTTAAGCAGCAAGACTAGAAGTGCTCACATTTTTTCACTGCCACTTCCATTACAGCTATTCTTCACCACAACAGCGTGGTTTGTCCTGAGTTGAGGAGACAAAGAATCCAAAAGGAGTCATTAGTGCACTATAAATGGCAGTGGCAAAACCTGACAGCTGAGGGTAGCAGTGTGTGTGTAGAACGGAGAAAGCACACGAAGAAATGTTCTACCTGTCCTACAGGACATCAGCCTTGTGCTTCCTGTGAGCTTTTGAGGCTTTGAGAGCATCCCCAAGAGTGAGGAATCCTCTGGTAAAAAGGGCCCAAAGACTGCAGAATGGAGCTACCTACACAATATTCTGACATTCACTGACAAGTATTTTCTCCTTTAACACAATTTTGCCAGTCCTTCTCATGTGTAGTGTGAGAGGGAGGTCCTGCAACCTTTTTAGCCTCTAATCTTATCTCCAGGTTAAAGGGTGCAGACTCTGCCTTAGCTGACTGAGCTGGATGGAGTCACGACAGGAATAAGGTTTAAAACATGTAGAAAATTAAGAACTGTGCTTACTAGTGTGAAACAATGAAACCCTCATCTAATTTGCAATAAAAAGGGCAAAGGCAGATCTGTATTAATTTATTATTGAGTACCAAATGCTGGCAGAAATTTACCTTGACTTGAGGGTCTTTTGCTTCTTTCTGTGGCTGCCCTCCTACAACAGAACCCACTGCAAATAAGAGTCTGATACAGTTGCCTCTTCATCCCACCACCAACTTGTTTTTAAGGACAATATAACACTTCAAAGCCTCATTTTCATCTACAAAGTGTGTCTTGCTGAATTACTCTCAAGTGTAAACATTCCATGTTCTATTTCACTTCAAGGCAAATCGGTGTAAAGAACCATTTCTCGGATGGAAGGCTCTTTTCAACAGCATCAGGCGAGGGGTGAGAAATTACTCTTGCCCATAAAGCGCTGAACTACTTACTGCAGTGAGTCCTGGGTGTCATTTCTGTTTCAAAGCAACTTAAGAGCTTGGGTGCATGTCTTTGGCGGGCCTGCTCTGCCCTCACATCAGGTGACCGTGTGTGTGTGTCCCCCCTTAGAACTGCCCGACGGCATACTGTGTGCGTGTGGGGGGATCTGCCCGTGTCCCGCAGGGTCAGCGTTCGGCCCCGGGGCAGGCGCGGTGCCGCGGCCCCCTCAGAACCGCCCGACAGGACACTGTGGGTGGAGGGATCTGCCCGTGTCCAGCACGGTCAGTGTTCGCCCCTGGGGCGGGGGCGGTTCCCGCGGCCCCCTCAGAACCACCCAATGGCACACTGTAGGTGAGGGGATCTGCCCGTGCCCCGCAGGGTCAGTGTCTGGCACTACCACACGGTCCGTGGGGGGGGCTATGCCCGCGGACCCCTCAGGGCGGTCCCGCCGCAAGATGGCGGCTCCGCGGCCCCGCCCGCGCGCCTCGCCCAAGATGGCGGCGGGGCCCCTCCCCCGGCCGCGCGGGCCCTGCACGCGGCGGGGCCGGGCGCGCGCGGTCGCAGGGCGGTGACGCGCGCGGGGCGGCGGCGCGTGCGCGGCGCAGGCGGAGCGCGCGGTTGGCGATGGCGGCGGGGCCCAGCGCAGGTACCGCGGCACGGCCGGGCCGGGGCTCTGAGGGGGCGGCGGGTCGGGCACAGGCACCGCCACCGCCACCGGCTCGCGGGGCGCGGGCCCGCGTCGCCGGCAGGGGTGGTGGCGGCGGCGGCAGCGGCGGGGGAGGCGGAAGGGGCGGGCAGGCCCCGGTTCCCGCGCGGCCCGTGCCTTTCTCCGGGCACGCGGCCCGGGCGCTCCCGGCACGGACGGGCGGGCGGGCGGGCAGCGGGGCCGGGGCGGCGGGGCCAGGCCCGGCCGGCCGTGCCCCCCATGCGGCCGGAGCCCCGCGGCGCTGCCCCGCCGCGGCCGAGCGCGGCCCGGGACTGAGAGTACCGGGGTGTGAGGTGTGAGCTCGCAGAGATTCTGCAGAGTCACCTTCCCCTGAGCGCTCCTGCACGCGGAAACGCGTTTTTGCTTTTAAATACGATAGTCCCATTGTTAAGAAGAGCAGGATGGAGGTCGTGCCTTAGGAAAGTAAAATAACTTGTCTCGCAGCTTTCCGTGTTTCCCGCACGTGGCGCGCGTTGCCCGCCAGGTTTAGGGGCGCAAGGCTGGTATTTCCACGCTTTTTGTTTCTTTTCTTGTCTGTTTTTTTTGGTTTTGTGTTTTTTTTCCTGGGGCCCAGAATCGGAGTAGCGGGCGGTGCGTGTTTCAAAGGCTGCGGCTGTGCGCTCTTTCCCCAGATTGCAGTTCCAGCAGATAGAGCCCGGCAGATCGCGCCTTCCGCCATGGCTCAGTTTGGAGGACAGAAGAATCCCCCCTGGGCCACTCAGTTCACTGCCACCGCCGTGTCCCAGCCAGGTCAGTTCACATCGCTCGCTGTTTGAACCCTGCCGTCCGGGAGATTTTGAGATTCCGGAGTGGACTGTGCACTTACCAGCGGCACCGTGCTACCCAACGTGTTTAAAGCCTGCTTAAGTGGTTGAATTTGGGAGTTTTTCGGCACCATAGAAGCTTTAAAGGTCATTGCCTAATACTGGCTGTTGGTTTTGTTTGTTATAAGGTTTTTTTAAAGGGTGATAAGTGAAATCCAGGGTGAATTTGCATGGATTTCGACAGTAAACAACATACCACGTTATTCATATCACAAGATGCGTAAATTAAATTACCGTTTATCAAATTACATCGCTCTAGGTTAAATAATAACGGCACTAATAAGGCACTACAGATTTTTTAAGTGCTGTCACACTTTTATTTCCAGGGCAGCCTAAATCAATACTTACAGCTTATTTTTCCTTTATTAATATGTTGGACATACTTCACCCAGTGGAAAGTTCTCTGAAATTTGTTACTTGGGTGAGGAGGTTGGGGTTCTTTTAATGCTAAATTAAAACTTAAGGATCCCTGTAACCAAATGCATTGCCCTAATAGTGTGAGAGGGCTTCCTTGGATTTAGCTAACAAGACTTATTTCATGGCAGGC